TGCCTTCTTTATCATGCTTATCAGTGTTTAGCACCAAAGCGCAAGGGAAAATTTTAAATTACAGGTATTTTGTCACAAGGAAAAACACCCCCATAACACCTCAAAGAAACAGGATCTCGAGATAAGATTTGATGAATCTCTGATGAATTCATCAGTTTCCAAAGTCATACAGAATATTTCGAGCTTTATTAATTTCAATTAAATTTTCAAATTCAGCATACACTATTAAAGAAACTGTTTGCTGTAAGGGAGTGGCAAATTTTATTTCTAATCTTAAGTTGCTATGTCGAACAAGATTTAAATAAGAACCATCACACAAGTCGGGTGACAAATCAAAGCGAAATAATGAATATCCCTCTGAAAATTCTGATCGCGAAAGATAAAGACCCTTGTCTTCCGCATTTATAAATAAATTGTGATAAGCTCGTATAAATTGATTTTTACCAAAATTAGGTTGAAGTGGATTATGAGGCACAGGTTGACCGTCTACATAAACTCCAATAAAGTTAATATTATAATGCTTAAACTCGAAAGGAGACTTTTTATAGTTTCCGTTAAATGCATCATTGTCAATACATGCCACCTACAATACGATTAGGCATTTGTCCTATGAAAATATTGTCTTGAACAAAAGCTCATGTTTCCTGTGGGAATGGAATACGCTTTGCAGAGCACTCTGTTAATGGGATATTTGGCTGTTGATTTTTCTAAGGCTTTTGCATGCCCTAGAACCACATCAGGACTGACTCTCACTTTTCTCACAAATAAAGAAGCATTTTCAAGCAGAACTTTATATTCGCCAGCATCCAGTAAACAAAATTCAGGCTTGCTGCGTATGAGTTTAATTTTCATATCCACCATATTCAATAAGAGATTTTCTTGATGAAACATATCCAATCATATCGACCGAGGTAGCCACCCAATCATATCGACCGAGGCACTCAGTTTAAACATTTCGGCTCTTTGGATGAATCCTTTATGGTCGAAAACATTCATTCGACCTGCTGTATCTTTAAAAAACATTTCTGATGGAAGCTGAGAAGTTTTTGTATCAAAACCATGGTTAAGTAATTTTTCAATCATTGCCCTGTATGGGTAAGTATTATTACTCGAGGAAACGAGTCTTTCATTTAAACTGATATCCACTTGAGAAAACATAGAATGTAAAAATAGATTGACAGGTCCCACTTTACTTTCAGCCTGTGAGAGGCTTGCCATCACTTTTTAAAATTTTTACTTTGACATATAGTTGAGTCTGTGATAAATCAAGGTATTCATCTCCGCTTCCAGAAACATTGAACTCTACAGGACTTCCTTCCTTCTGACACATTGGCTAGAGGATGAAATTCAACCCACTGACCTCTTTCGATAACAGTTTGCGTTGGAGGTAATGAAAATAGATCCAGATTTTACATTCTGGAGAATCTTTTACAGAAAACAGAAAAGCCATTACGAGTCAAAAATGTCGCGTCGTTGCCGTTTCCTGGCTTTAGACGAAATGAAGCATTTCGAGGTTTTGCGTTTCCTTTTAAACCTTCCGCGACCGATCATCTCGTCTGTTTTCTGAGCTGCTTTTTTGGCTAAATTTTTTCCAGCTTCCTTAGATCTTGTTTTCAAGGATGCTTTAAAATTTTCGCCTGATAGCACATCGTTTGCAACCATAGTTCCAGTCCGTAAAGCTTCTTTGCCAACAGTTTTAGCTCCACTAATCAAAAAAGGCATAGCGCTACGAAATAGTTTTGCAAAAAATCCTCCAATACCATATCCTTTCTGTAAAATAGTTCCTCTGTAATAAGGTAGTCCATTTAAGGCTTGTCCTTCATAATAATCTTCAAATTTTTTCGTGCAACACGTGTAAGGCTTCAGCATTTTGATACTTCTACTTTTGAGTATAAAATCAAAATGAAATCACTTTTAAAATGGGTGGGTGCTTCTTTTATAGAATTTGTCTCAGACGAAAATGTGCAATACAAGGTAAACTTTTCCTCTCTCAAACGGTACTAAATCTCCAGAATGAAGTCTTATATCAATATGTATAGTCTGAAAGTGTTGTCTGATGACTGGTAAGTAAAAGGGTCTGGGATAATGAGCGTTTATGATATCACCATCATTTCCTTCTACGGTGACAATTTTTAATAATGGAGCTTGCACATCTCCTACGATTTGAGGCTCTACTAGATCACAATACACATACATGACAGGAAAAGGAGACTTTTGGATTGGCTACGAAAGGACTTTCTACAATTTCTCTGTAAACACCGGGTTCGAATCCTAAAAGCTCAGCTAATCCTTCATGAAGAATAACTTTAGAATGTTCGTCTGTCTTAATTGTAACCTTTTTCGTCGTGACAGGATGATAATTAAATTCAATCTTATTTTCATGCGATGGTATTTTTAAAGCTTTTAATAAATCTGGTACCTTTTCATAACATCCTGGAGGAATTCTTCTACCTTCCCATTTTCCATCGCCTAAGTCAAATCCAAATAAATTGTTGTCTTTTCGAACGTTATACCAGGAATGCGGGTAAATAAAGTCCACAAGGGATAATTCCCACTCACCATTTAAATCGACCGGAGAAGGAAGCTGAGTGGTAAATTGCGATATTTTATTTTCCGGGAAAAAGTGCGTAGAGCTATCGCTTATCAGTGTGAACAAAGAAAGACATTTTCCCTCCAAATGAAAGGTAGGTAGAATGTATGGGCTTTTTATATCATTCTAACATCTTCAACCCAAGCATTGAAACTTGCAGGGTACCCCTGAAATTTCACAAAATATTCAACTTTACCGCGAGATTTCCTCTTTTTCAAAACTTTTTCTACTGGATAATAACTAGAGTCAGAAACCTTTTGAAGTTCTTGCTTATAAAAACGTCCCTTGTATAACTTCTCCTGCTAAATCTTTTAGCTTATAGACAACAGGAATCCGGCGAATAATTTTATGAATTGTAAAAATTTCTCTTGTCCAGTTTTGTTCGTATCCTTTTTCGAAGAGCATTTTTTCTCGGCTGATGCGAACCGTGTCCCCCACTTCTAAATCTGATCTGACTTGTTTCCGTGTCGTTTGTTGACCATATAGCGTTTTGCCAGATTTTCTCTTGATTCTGTAATGTAACCGATGCGGGTTCTGTCTTAATACTGCGATGCCAAGTATTATTATAACTATGGTATTAATTTGCTTATAACATCAATGTACTTACGCGTATTCATTTCAGTGAAGTATTTCCACATCTTAGTTTTAAGAGTACGATTAAACCGCTCAACGACAGAGGCTTTTGTTGCATTATGTGTCGTGAAAAAGTGTACATTTTTCCGTTTTAAAAAGTCTTGAACATATTTATTGGTAAATTCTTTCCCAGCATCTGTTTGTAAAGATCTCGGTATGCGTTCCGAAAATATTTTTTCGAAAGCGGATATGATTGAGAAGTAGATTTTTTGTCTTTAAGGGGAATTGCCCACAGCAAATTTGGAAAGGATATCTATACAGGTTAGTAAATATTTATACCCATCATTAAAAGAGGCTAATGATTGCATATCTACTAAATCAGACTGAAATTGCTCGTTTAAGCTTCCTACGATCACTCTGTTCCTGGGGAATTTGTGTCTCACGGGTTTGTGTAATGTATAAGAATCCTTGCTTTGCAGCCATTTCTGGATGTCTTTCGTTTTCACGCGACCTTTTAAAGCAGCATGATGTAAAGCAGTAATACCACCACCGAAACTGGCAGGGACTTGAGGATCTCGATAAGTCTGAGATAGAATCGCTTCCATTACAGCAGCTGTTATGATCTAACCGCACACTAACATTCATTTATATATATATATATATATAATATATTTCAAAATTATAATTCTGTGTTAAATTTAAAATTTAGAACATCTGTTTCGGATTCATAAAACATCTCTATCTAACACATTAAACCAATCATAAATTAAAGCATGTGAAGATAAAAAAGAATATTTATAATGAGTTTATACAAAAGTGGAAAGAAAAATAGAGTAAATAGAACTTCTGAAAGGCTAAGTAAGGAATGATACATTTTAAAAAACAAAAACAACTTTTATTCATCATCAGTGCTTTCTAAAGTTTCAAACAAAGTTTTTCCGTCTTTAACATAAACATTTTCAATTTTTTTGTACAAATCACTAAAGTTAATACACTGGAAAAAATCATAATCAAAAATGAGTTTAACAAAATTAGTGTTATTAATATTTTCTTCGACGAAGTCCTTAGCCAATGCTTTCCAATTAATGGTGTAAAATGCTTGATCAAAGTACTTTTTAAAATTTTCTACAGATTTCAAATTGAAGCAAGTATGCATAAACATTGATTCATATCCTATTTGACAAGCAAAACATTTAAAAAGTTCAGAAATTGTGTTATAAATAGACTTACTTATACATTCACATAAAGAATCCTCAAGTTCTTGAAATCCATGTGGTCTGTCTGGATCACCTGAAAAACCACTTTCGGTATATGAATATTCATGAATTTGTTTTTTCACAAAATAATCCATAGTTTGAGAAATGAGACTTTCTCTCACCAGAACGCTTATTGCATAACATTCTGTATCAAGTTTCTGTAGCTGATCTTTATTCATTAAAACACGTTGTGGAACAAACTGAAAACTGTAATCCTTTTTTCTGAAATAGTCTCTGTAGGGATATGATTACTTCACCATTCACATTTTGTTTTGAAACACAAAGATCGTTTTTCACAAAAAATATATCGTCAGTCGATTCAAAGGTAGCAAAAGTGTTTAAATGAGTACATAATTCTTTCCATACTAATGGGCATAAGCGAAACTCCATCTTTCGTCGGATACAAAAAACCTTGATCATTCGTACCATAACGACGAATATGAACACGAGTATGACCCAAGAAGCACGAAACGATGACAAAATTTTGATCTCCTAGATGAAACATATTTGGAGGAAGGGCATTCCACTGTTAACTGAGGTCCTTCAGAATTCTGATGTGTTTATCCACTGGCAATAGCTTGTCAGATGTCATTTACCTATAAAATAATTAAAAAATAAGTAAGCGAAACTGATACAGCAACAATATAATTAAATTTTGTATACCTTAAAACTTATATTAACTTTATGCTTACCTTCTGATATTTCATGCCTTTTTTGGGTTGACCTTGATCCTCATCAAATTTTCTTTTACCAGGTAATAGCAGCCTTCGGAACGTCAAGCTGACTCGAACACCTTTTCGTTCTTTTTGACGAGGTATTCCATGAGTCCAAAGTTCATTTGTTGGGGAGCTTAAAATTAGTAAAGAATTATTCTCCAGTTCTAGTCTATAATCTTGAAAGTGTTGCCTCTTGAATACTATAGTACGCGTTTCACCCAAACTCAGGGAACACACAGGATGATTACTATCCAGAGATGGTTCATTGTCCTTATGTTGTCCAATGCAAGAATTACCATCTTTGTATCGGTTGATAAGTACAAAATTAAAATTCGCACCACTCAAATGTTCGACTGAAGCCTTGATTTCAAACAGTAGAGGGGTCCATGGTTGACATGAAATACTCATACCCGAAAACGTGTATATAAGTCCTGGATCTCCAAAGTTTTTTAAAATAAGCTGATTGGTTAATAGGAATGCAAACTTTCACTTTGGCGGATGCGTACAAAAAGTAGAAAAGGGCGAAAAAGCAAACATCATTTTGTATTTTAAATTTAAAAAAAAGGGGGGAGGGAAGGGATAAACATCTCTTTCCTAGCCAAGATAATAAATTTACTTAATCAAAATTATATAATACAATATTTACCAATTACATCCTATAAACAGAAAAATAAATAAATTAAATAAAAATTTACTCATCTCAGAGAGTGCAATTCTTTCTTCATCAGTCAAGAAAGAAAATAGCTTACCTCATCACAGATGAACTTTAAATGACGTCACAAAATTTTATCTAGTTGTTATACTAATAATTGATCTCTAGTGTTAGAAGAAATTTTATAATGACCCCAAGGTAACGTATGGATACCATCTTCCATAATGAACCGTTTAGCATCTGAATATGACAAAGCTAGCTTGTTTTGGCACACAGAATAAACATTATGGTGTTTTGATCTAATCATGTTCATGGTAGCAAACATAGACTCTTTCCCAAATAGACAATCTCTATAATTTTGAAAGCTGATTTTCCTATTGACAGTTTGTTTTTTAATTCCTTTTAGTCTTTTCACTTCATCAGTCTCATCTTGAATTTTGTAACTATACATTTTTGATTTAAGACCTAAAAACTCGATCATAAACTTCCCGTGATTTTCATCCTTCATTTTTCCAAAGCACTTTCTTATTAACTCTCGGAAGTCCAAAATATTATTTTTTCGGGATAATCTGATGTATCATCATAAAAAGAAATACTTTCCTTTAAGTCTTCATAATAGTCCCCTTTGTCCTTAATTTCATATATTAAAGAATCTGTGTCAGTATACAGTAGCGTTATATTATCTCCATACTTCTTCTTCATTTGATTATAATGGAAATCATTCATAAGCGTCTTGGACAGATCTAATATTGACATTCCAATACAAATTGGCTTGTTAAACGTTAATTTTGTTTTCTGCATGTGAAATGCTGCAAGATTAGAGGAGAAAATTGTCCTGTATTTGAAATTTGGAGCAGACACAAGTTTTTCTGCTGTTTTACCATTACTACACAGTTTAATATCTGCTCTTTTCCGGATATTCTCAATTGTTTTTCCAAATATTGCGTTGTTCATTAGTTTAAAGAAGTCTTTTTCAAAACTATTTTGTGCTTTCGAACGCAGATCTGTATTAAGGTTTATATAAGGTTTCAGCCACTCCGACTGTTCAAATTTTAGAGCTCTGTGAATTTTTTTTAAAACCATACCTAAAGATAGGTATTGTTTAAGGGCTCTGAAATGAAGCACATATCTTACTTTGGGTTCTAAGGTTAAAACCAAACGCTTTTCCGTAGACTCTGGAGGCACGATATTTACAGGTGCTAAAGGAAGATCAGAGTGTGCGTCATGAATATCCTCTGGATAATCTAAATCCACTTCGAGGATGTATCCTTCACTTGAATCATTAGGAATAGAATTAATATCTGTTACAGTACACCACTGGTAATTTTTTAGAGGTAATTTCTGGCTCATGGCCCAACCGTATAAGTTATTTGCGTCCAAATATACTAAAAATAGCGATTCTTTTTTATCATCATATTCATTACATATATTTATGGTTGGCTCTAGAATAGCGTTTAGAGCATTGAGATACGCCACCTCTTATCCCTTGCTCAATAAAAAGGAGCATGTCATAATCAACAAATAACTCAATTTCGACTTGAGTGCATTTAAGCATTGCATCCCAAGATAGACCTGGTGCCGTAAAATACCATGCAGGGTCTAGTTCATAAGTTTTCAAACAAAGTGATCTGAATTGTTCAAAAACATCGCATAGTAAGAGTACATCAGTTTTAACGTACAAATCGGAGTATTGTCCCATGTTTTCTATATCTATAAAGTATTCCATACGTTTTTCGCATGTTCGTAGTCGTTTTCTGATATATGTTGCTCATTTAAAAGATTAAAAAAAATTTTCTCTTGGTGGTAGAAATTTGTCTTCAAATTTCTTCATATCATCCATATAGTCATACGGGTAAATCCCTTTCCTAAGAAGTAAATGAACTTTGGCTTCGTTAAAATTCCTCCTTGTATGTATAAACATTTCATGTGTTAAATTATTCACTAGCGACTCAAGACTTCGCCGGCATAAATCTGAATGTCACAATAAAAGTTAAACTTACTTTATCGGTCTATTTCTTGAAAAGAGAAATATATCTTTCTTCGTTATTAGGAATTAACCGTATGAGTGCATCGTCAAATGCTAACTCTCTAATAAAAAGATGAGCGTCGTAACCAGAGAGATTATGAAAAAAAACTCGTATAAAAGTTGGTAGCTGAAGTTTTAAATTGCATGATTGGTGAGCAGGTCCTCTATATTTACCGGTTATATGATCATGATCACAGACTTTAGGATCAGAAGCTATAGTAAAACGTTTTTTGCATAAATAACATTTGTCTGCTCTTTTATGTAGTTCTTGCTTCACAGAATCCAAAGGTGTCATCGGCTTTGGGTTGTTATATATATTTTCTATAATTTTCGCTTCTTTTCTCAAGCAATCTAGAAATTTTTTAGGAGCGTCCAAACCTCTGTAAGTTACTGGCGGTTTCTGGAATCGATCATTGTTGCATGCAACATAATAGGAAAAACTTACTGCAATATGTTTTTGTATAACATTCGTAAACGAAGTGCTTTGATTCGGTTGACATGTATCAACCTTTTGAACGATGCATTCAAAATCTGCATAAATAACAAAAGGAATGTGCAAAGAATGCTTAATATTTTTAAAGGTTAACCACTTTTCATCTTTACTTGGCATGACGACTCTACACGGTTTTTTAAGACTACACAATTCCTCATGTCTTGCAAGCGAATTCTCATTGCGAAAGAACAGCAAACAACGTCTACATAAAATTTGCGTCCTTTATTTTTTGAAAGTTGGCCTGATACTAATCTAGAAAGGTTTCTGATTAAACTATAGTGAGCTCTATCTCCCGATTTAAAAAAAAAGTAAATCGATATGTTTTTCTTTAGGATTGTTCGTAATCACTAAAGGATAAACTATTAAATCTTTATTAAATGAATATACGTTGATGCTTACAGCGTTTTGCCTTTCAAATATTTTAACATCTTCTGGCTTAGTAGGAAAGCTGATACCTGAAAAATTATAATAGTTTTTAAAAGGTATGTAATGGCATACTCTATGGGGATTGTTTACCACGGGATGCAAACCTGAAATCACAGCCCAGCGAAAGCACTCTTTATCAAAATTTCTCACGTTGATAATGGCCTTTTTGCTTTGTAAAGCTTGCGGAAGCTCTAAATAAGTAAAACCTCGTAATGGTATATATTTGTTTCAGTCTTATCTCTAAATCGATAATTTCTTTCAGGGACCATCCTGAATCCTTTGCTTTCAAGTCTTCACTTTCTTTAATTAACTTATCAATGGCTTCATTAAAAACTACGCTGATATCTGTCGGGTAGCAAAATAATTTTATTTTTCGTCTTGAATGCAAAATTTTTTTCAAATATTTCTTCATTAACTTTTCTTTCATATATACAATTAACTTGAAAATTTACTTTGACGCTGTTTTCTTTAAGCTTTTCTTCAATGAGATAATAAACTTCATTTCGTTTGGAATTTAAAAATTCCTTCAGTTCTAGGATATTTTCCATATTCCTCAAAGCGTAAGTAAGAAGTCTCTTATTAAAAGCATGCTTTCTTAAGAAATTTTCCTTACTTTTTCCTACCTCATTTACATTTGTTGTTCTTTCTTCGCTCTTTGCATTATTTTCAGAAGGTCCATTGATATTCGTTGTTTGAACTAATTGAGTATGAGCTTCACTAGTACCTCTTCCTTCTTGCAGATTTTTCTGTACCTGAGAGCTTACAGCATCTAATGTGACAGCCACATCTTCGGTTAAATTCATTTTATCATTTTTCATTTCAGTTTCAGAAATAGGCTTTTCACTACCTGGGCTGACTTTCCGTCTTTTTACTGTTTTAACAATGATGCATTTATCTTCATCATGTTTCCGCTTGTGGCGAGTAAGGGAGTCTAATCGTGTGTAACGTTTATGACAAAATTCACACGTATGAACATTACCTAAATAAACGCCATTAGTATGTCGATCAAGGGTACTTTTTCTATTAAATTTCTTCTCAAAATATATACATTCAAAAGCATAAAGTTTGTGAGTGGAATCATAATGTCTTTTATAATTGAAATGAGAAGAAAAACATTTTTTACACTCTTCACAATACTATGTATTCATATCTTTCAGTTGATGGTTTAGAAAATATCAAAAATAATATAATTAGTAGGATATCCACAAGAAACAAAAAAAAAAAAAAAAAAATGCCCAATACCAACACTTTCAACTCACTTTCAGTATGTAGACCATCACTTTCAAGATACTTCTGATGCTGGGTGAACTGCTAGGGAAGCCCTAATAGTGTCTTCAGCAGCCTATACTCAAAGGTATTGGCTTATCACTTCCATGAAATGGCACCTTTCCTTTTTCTTTATTTTTACACACCTGCTTGAAGGAGTAGAGAACAAAGCATTGTACTGTGAGTAAGCCATTCTTTTATTCCTTTATTTTTATACATCTGTTTGGATGAAGGGAGAACAAAGTAATTTACTATATTCAAGAAATCCTTCCTGATGTCACAAAGACCTAAGTGCACAATATCAATAGTTTCTATTTTCCCTGGGGAGGGGGAAGAGTTTCTTTCCCAATCTGCACTAAAGGTATGCTCTACCGCTACATTCATGACGTTCTCGATCTTCAGAAACCCTCTCAGCAGGAAAAGGTTCTCCACCGCAAAAGCAATGACGTTATTTAGTAAGCATAACATGTTCGGACAAACCCTCATGACGTCGCGATGAATTTCTTACTGGAAGACTTTGCTCCACCGCTAAATCCATGACGTCA